CTCGGACCATGGTATGTCACGCAGGAAGCGTTGGGCAGGGGCGTCACCCGCGGCGGGAGCTTAGGGTTTTTGACCAATTGCTTCGGGTGTGTAATCAGCGTGGCCTGTCCAATCTGTCCTGCCTTGGTTCTGCCCTGATAGTGCGGCCGTTGGAATGCTTTGTGATAGCGACGGTTTCTTTTATGTTTTGAGTTTGTAGGCGAGGGTTTTTGATCCGGATGGCCGAGTTTTTCCCTTGCACCCGTTGCTGTATAGGTAACTTCAGTAGAGAATACATGCCCCACTGATGGTTTGTCAATAGCTTGACGAACCGGGGAGGGTGTTCGTGTGTCTGGATACGAGCATGGTAGATCTGCTAGCAGCACGGGGGGGTACGTAGACAGGAGTATGCGTATGCCTGACGAAGGCTACTATGTGTGGGCCCCCTTCCCCGAATTCGGGAGGGCCACTTCTTCTCTTCCTTTCCTCGCTCCCGCGGGTGCCTAATCAGAGAGAGTTAAAGCGTGCCTTCTCCTCCCAAGTACGGACATACCAACATTCCTCGACACCGAAATCACAAAACTCACTTTTTCGCTGGATTGTCATAGTCGAGCGATTGAAGCGCCTCCCACATCTTGGGCACTCCCGGTGCAGTGCTGCCGTCGTGTGATTTGGGGTTGCCAGCGCGTACCCTGCCGAGCCTTAAATGTTTGTTTACGAAGTGGTCGACAATCTCATCCCAACCCCACCTGGATCGTTCACCTCAATGGCATGGTTGGCGTCCTTGTTTCGATTCGTGGGCGCCTGTTCGCTGGTGAGGACCTTCTCGTACATCTCGTCCGAGAACACGATGAAGCACAACCTTGCCGCATCCCCGCTGGAACGGCATCTCCAATTGCGCTTTTCCTCCTCGGCAGCAAGCTTCGCCTTCGCTTCCTTCGCCACCTTCTTCGCTTGCGGGGTGCCCTGCGGAGCTTGCTTTCAATCAGGGTCGACACCTTTGGATACACACCACGCGTGCTGGGCTAGGAGCGGCTTTACAGCTTCTGGCTTCTTCACGCTCGAAATCGACGTGTTGGCCTCGTTGACCCCATCACCGCGCCGAAAGGCTCCCTTGTGGCCCGCTGCCTCCGCGCGCCTCTTCATCTCCGTTTTGACATGCCGGGAGCAACCAGTCAGCATAGTCCGGCTGCTCCTCCCGGGTGGGCTTGGGCGGTAATGTTGGAGGCGAAGGTAGGAGTTGCACGGACGATCCTGGCCCTGGCGCGAGGGCTGGCAGCGATCCCGGCCCTGGCGGGAAGGCTGGCGGCGATCCCGGCCCTGGCGCGAGCGCCGTCGGCGATTCCTTCCCTGGCGCGAGCGTCGGCAGCAATTCTGGCCCTGGCGCGGGTGCCGGCAGGTTTCCCGGCCCCGGCCATTGCGGAGACGGGGGCGGTGTGGTCTATCCTGCAAGCATGCGCGCCTGGGCCACCTGAGGGATGGACAATCCGCGCGCTGGGGGAAATCCAGCAGATCCAGGAAAAAACACTGGCGGGGCTGACACCGGAGAACCCGCAGCAGCAGCAGCGGCGGCCGCTGCGGCAGCAGCGATGCCTACGTACTGCTGCTGCTGCTGCTGGGGCGGAATGTGCGAGAGATGCTGTGGTGGCGCCGGAGGAGTCATCATGTTTGCGTGTGCACTCCCGCCAACAGCTTGCTGGGGGGGGGGCTGCCGGGGCCAAACAAAGCTTCCCGCCACGCCCGTGGCGCCTCCTGCGCCTGCTGCGCTGCTGTCTGTGTTGGCGCCTCCGGTATCGCTCATGAAGATGCTGCGTGGATTGTGGCTGGAGGAGCATCTCCTGCCACCTCATGGTCAATTCATTTTCTAGCCGCGTTTTCAGCCTATTTGCTACTTTTTTTTTATTTTCCATTTCGAATAACTTTCGGAACAATGAAAAACGTGAAGATTCTGTGCGTACAGTCGACCCCGCATTAAGGAAACCAAATTTAAGGAAACTCCCCGGGTGAAGGAAACAATTTCTCGCCGAAACACAATACCCCGCAGAATGTAAAATATACGGGGGTGTCCATATTCTAGTCCGCGGACCCCCTTAAAATGTAGCGTTCAGAAGGAAAGCGTTGTTTGTGGAAGGCGTTTGTTGAATTCGAAAGAAAGCAGGGGACGGG